CTATCTTGGTAGTTTTTTCTTTCAGCTGTTTCTGAAGATCATCAAATTTAGTGTTGAGATTAGTCACCTGGTCCAGCAGAGGGTGCAAAACCATAGTTAACATGTTTGGGAAGTCAGTAGGCACTTCCGGCTTGTGTCTCGATGACTGTGAGCTGGCAATTCTTTGAGAAGAAGTCTTTTTCGGCACCATTTTATCTCCTCGCACAGACATTGTTTACATAAGAAAAAGTTTGTTTGGACACTCTGAAGGTCTGTTTATTTAATTGCGCTCTGAGCTGGTTTACATCCTCTTTGGCTATGTTGATTTTCAGCAACAACCGGCTCTCTGCCCTTCGCTTTATATGCCGCGATTCCCCCCCGGGGGGATTCCTCACTCTTCCTCCTCTACTGATTTGAATTAGGGCTTTCGGGTGGTTGATCGCGTCTCTGCTTAGTTAGTTAAATATGCTCAAACTCACAGTTCATCCCAACGTTTTCTTCAGGGGCTGGGTGGGAGCAACCAGGCGCTAGATCTCTTGCTCGCTTTCTCTGGCATGCGCCTCTGCATCCATGGTGGTCTCGTGGTGGCAGGACCTATGTGGCAATTCTTCGGCTGCCGCCTTAGAAGAGGCAGTGGTGGCAGGACCTATGTGGCAAAGGGGAGCCTCAATTCTTCGGCTGCCGCCTTAGAAGAGGCACCCCTCGCGCCCCAGGCTACGACCCCCCTACAAGGGCTCTCAGGGGTCCCAGAATCATCTGGGACCCCTCCCATCCACGGCGATAACAGGGTGCTCACATCAGAGCGAGATGGAGCATGCCTGTCCAGCAAGTTGCCAAAACCGGAAGCCAAATCAGCATATGTTCTTGACCAGTGATCACATCACCTTCAGTCTTCAGAGGAAGCCCTCTGCTGTATCTCTGTAGGAGTCACTGCTCCTTCCAAGAATGTCTGTCCAGACCAGTGACTCTCACAGATATATGGGCAAGGACTCTTCTGCAATCAGGAGATATTTTTCCTGATGTATTCTAAAGGTAAGCCTGAACAGGTATAAGAGTGAAGTATTGCTCCTTTTTTTTTAGGTGCCTCCATTGCATAGGCAGCCGGTGTGGTATAAGGGTTAAGGGTGTTGGACTAGGATCTGGGAGACCCAGGTTCAGATCTCCCCTTCTGCCATGGAAGCTCTCTGGGTGACCTTGGACCAGTCGCACTCTCTCAGACTAGCCTACTTCACAGGGTTGTTGTGAGGATCAAATGGAGCAGAGGAGAATGATGTAAACCGATTTGGGTCCCAGTTGGGAAGAAATCAAGTAAATTAAAAATAATAATAAATGAGAACTATGCAGAGCACTGAAATCCTGCTCCCTGTCCACTGGTGATCCTCCTCTGCCTTTGCTATCATTTGAACAATCAGCTGGCATCATCTGCAAGGCCTGTTTTATAATCTTAAGGCTTAGCAGCTTAATTTTCACCTTTAAAAACCCAAACAGGGTTTCTTGGAATTATGAACACTTAATACACATTTCTGCTCTTGCATTGTGCAGCCATTGCAGTGCTTTCCTAACCCCACAGTGCAGAGTTACATGTATGTGTGCTTTTCTTCTGGAGACAAAGACAGAGAGGCAAAGAGCCATGGCCCAGGAGGGTACAGTTGTACGGCTGCTCACTTGGGGCAATGCTGCTCACCCTGGTATGGTCCACAATACATGGCTGCAGTGATGTGAGGAGAAAAAAATTCCGATGCGATATTTTTTTCATGGAACATTTTCTGCCCCACATATAGTCAGGGCCGTTGTGTTACAAATCAACCATTAGCGATGGTCTTATGTGTGATATGACGCATGGACAAAGCCCAGTGCTTGTACGTGATCCAGGCAGTGTGAATGCCTTCTTTAAATTTTGCTGACGTTATTTAAATTATTTACATAAATTTGATTCAGAAGATTTCCCAGCTCAATTTTCCTAGGAAGCCCACATCACTATATTAATTCATAAGGAAGAATTTCTGTGACTAGCAGTTCTTAAGATCACTGGTGACCACCAGCTGGCAACGATCTTCTTACCTTGTTGAAGTGGTTTTGTAACTCCCCATTTAATCTTCTGAAAGAGCTGGTTTTCCTGTGGCTGAGGCAAGTAGGTTATCCACGCAGCTGGGCATGGATTTGATTTGACCACTGTTGTGTAACTCCTTCTGTGTGCATAATCCATGGTGAGGCCTAGGGCTTCTGCTTCTAGGACCTATTATTGTGTTGTGTTGCTCTTACACGTTGGGGCTGCAGGTCTGATGAGAAAGAATGGTTGAACCCAAGGCCAGCTCCCACCAGGCTTTCCAAGTACTTACCATGATTTGGCGGGGGACACATACTTCTTCCCAGGACCATTCCCACACGGAAAACAGACGCGCCGCACCATGCCGTCGCCAGGAAGTGACACTGGGTGACGCTCTGGCAATGGGGCTGGAGACTTGATGGTACTATCGAGTTTCCAGCTCCATTGTCAGAGCGTCGCCCAGCATCACTTCCTGGCGATGGCATGGTGCGGCGTGGGTGTGTTACAGGGAGAAATGTTCCGGCCGGGGATCATGTGCCCCCCCCCCGAATCACGGTCAGTACTTGGTAACCCTAAAGCTCCCACAGTCCATTGCATGGATAGTTCAGGTGTAAAGTACCCCAAGCAAACCCACAATCCTTGAAGGGGGAAAATATCTCAATATAGTTCTTTTAGACACAGGTAATGATCTAGTTGTAAACACATGGATTTAGAAGGAACCTGCAGTACAGTACTAAGCAGTGCTAGGGTGGAACTCTGTTTAGGATTGTACTGCTGGTTTGATATCTTTAAAGGCTCCCAAAGGAGCAGAGGAGAACTTGCACAGCTAGCTGTTTACCCAGTGTCTGTTTTTCAAAATGGCCAGAAACCTATCTTCAAGCAGTCCATTTGTATGTATTGCTGCTCTTGCTATTTAAAAGGAAACTTGGAGTATATTATTTCCGGTATGGCAAACCACAGTCATTGTGTTTGTATTGGCTCTAAGCCAGGAAGCAATACACCATGTTATATGTGGATATAGCGAATTTCCTGATTTGATCCTTAACAGGTTTGCAACTTTCAAAAAGCCACCTTTTTTTACAAATGCCTTCTGAATGCTACTGGGTGTCTGGAGATTTTGTTCTGCTTTATGAATTTCTTTCCTGTTATTGTAGACTGTCCATTAATGGAGCATCCTTTTTTAAAAAGGAGTTTCCTTGATTATTGCTCATCTTGTGGGATGGTTGGTATTGTCACTTAAAAAGGGAGGACTGAGGTCAGATTCTTGTTGAAACCCTATTTCGGGTTCTGTGGAGGCTCAGATGATGGATAAACACAAACTTCCCTGTGCATAGAAAATAGGAAATGGGTTCACGGGGTCAGAACATAGGAGATGCTGGGAAATTCATGACTGGAGCATCCCAGCTACAATTTGAAGCTGATAATAGTAACAGATCTGAGAAGAAAGACTGAGAAGAGTCTTTATCAGTTAAGATCCTCTCCGTCTTGAAAGCACAATTTAGAGATTGTAATGTAGTTCCACAAGCAGCTGTTGTAGCTAATCCCAGTGCAAAGTTCCCTGTGCGTAGATATCTAGGAGGCAGAATGAGCTTTTTATATATATGCATGGGTTTTTTATATAGATAATTTACTATTTGCATTATAAGCCACTTTGAACAGAACTCTGGAGAGGTGGCATAGAAATCTCACAAGTAAATAAATATTTTATGTGGATGAATATTTAAGTTTGGAACACCCTCCTCACAGATATGGGGCAGGCACAGTGTGTGCTACTTTTCCAGTGTTGGCTACAGATATATTTTGTGTACCCAAGCTTTCTGTTGACATGGGTTTTATTTTTAAAATACCCCTCCAGTTCTTTCTTTCTTTTTTTAAAAACGTCTTTAAATTCTTATGCTCTGGCTTTTAACATTTGGCCTCTGTTTGGAATTGTTTCTACTTATTATGCGAGTGCCAGTTAATTTTTAAAAAATGTTGTGGTTGTCTTTATTGGATTGCCGCTATTCTTCTGAAGCTTCGAAGGAATTTACATTGAACTGCTGTGGTATAAAAAAAAATTATCTCTGTTTTACTGCTGATTTGTAATTTCTTTAGTTGTAAGCTGCCTTGAGTGCCTTTAGGGAATGACGGATGGAAATGCTTAAATATTCAATCATATGAGCTCCTGTGTGCAGGCTGAAGTGATGCTTCTTAGGCTTCTTGACCAGTCTGTGGTAGAAATGGGATTTGAGCTTTAGGTATCCTGTCCATTCTCCAGTGAGCTCGGGAGGAGGGCATGAAACCCATTTAATCCTTCCAATAACCCTGTGAAGGTAGGCGAGTAAACTACCCCGATTTCACTCTGTAAGCTTCATGACTGAGCTGGTAGCTGAATCCATCTCCTGCTCCTCATCTTTATCATTGGCTTATTGTATATTTTGAGGGCCCTTTAAAAATGAATTAATAAATCCTATGGCATGGCAATGTCTTCAGATCAGTTCATTTTACAGACTGAATGGGAGCAACTCTGAAAGTATGGCTAATTCTTTCCTCAGCCTAACTCACTTTTTTTTAAAAAACGAAAATTGTAGAAAATCCGAGAAACCTGTGTATGCTTAATGGAATGAAATCCTTTACCTCCCTACCCCAAACAGTTCATTCTTTTTGTCCTCCTTTTGTTCCACCTCAATCGTTCACTCTTGGTTTCTTTTTCCCCTCCTAGCAATCTATAACTACGATGCTGCCCAGGATGTGGAATTGTCTTTGCAGGTTGGTGACACCGTTCACATTCTGGAGATGTATGAAGGTAAGGGGATGTACAGTGTCAAGCTGGGGACGGGGCGGGGTCTGCAGTTGAAATGCTTGGTTCTTTTACCACCTTTTAAAAACTGGAATCTGACCTAAAGCTTAAACTAGATACCCTAGAAAGAGAGGAGTAAGATTCTTAGAAAAGAGAAACCTAAGGGCAAAAATAAGTGTTGACATTTTTTAGCAGACCCACCAGACCCAGCTCATTTCCCATGAAGCCAGACAGCAGCTACAGGGAATTGATATTGAAAGCAACTGTAGGGCTGTTTCAGGTCAGGACGGAGTACAGTAAAGGGAGGGACTGAAGCCCACCCTTGTACCATGGTACCAGTCTGAATCAGGCTCCTATAGTGCTTTAAATATTAATTCCATGCGGCAACCATCTGACTGAGCAGAAAATGTCAGGTCTGGGACCCATTTAAGGAAAATCTAGTTTGAACCTGATTATTGATGAAAATGGGTGCCAGGGTGGTCCAAAGATAGAACAATAGGATCCAGAACAGGTTGATACTTTAATACTGGACCGGCCAGTTTGTTTTGATGTGTGCATGCAAGGACATAAGAATAGTACTGGATCTGACCAGCGGTCTATAGTATCCAACATCCTATTTCTCACAATGGCCAGGTATTTCTGGGAAGAAGGAAGTGAAGTAAATAATTCAATTTTATTGTTTACCAGCTGGTATTCTCCAACTAGTAGGGTGTTTCTAATCAGGGAAGTTCAATTTAGTCATCTTGTCTAAAAACGTGATGGACCAATCCACTATCTTGTGGCAGTGAACTCTATAGATTAAATTCGTGTTGTCTGTAGAACTGTTTTCTTCATACATTGTGAAATTAGCTTATGTAATTCATGATAAAACGTAAGCTACAGTCAGTGAATAACAACAAACGAGTATGCTACTTATAATTTCATATGATTGTGTGCAGAGCAGGCTTAGTGTTTGCTAAGACATTTAGCATGAAAAAGTAAAGGGCCAGAAGTTGATGACTGTTTTGCTTGTTCCAAATATTTAAGAATTCCTCCCCATCTATTATCTTCTCTTTGTATACCAACTCTTTTGAAAGGAGGTAGCACTGACAGAATCTTGACCAAGTCCACTGGAAAGCTTCATGCTCAAGGTCTAGCATGCTTAAGCCCAATTAACTGTACAGTGTTTGAAATTGTATCTGTTTCGTATGCTGCCTGACTCCTAGTGTAATGTCTAGGTTAGATGATTTGTAGGTATAGCTGAGGTGATATACCGGTAACTTCCTATTTGGGGGACAAGACTCTCTGTCGTACTTGGATGGTGGAAATTTGCAAAGAGCCCATCAAAATGACAGTCCCAGAGTTCTATCAAACTGCCCTCTTTATAGTCTTCTACATCTCTCTTCCCTTTTCTACTTCTGTGTTTTCTGATTGCTTCATTCATTGACTGATGTCCTAGTGGACTTGTGTTGGCAGGGGAATAATGGCTTCTTTCTACCACTGGCATAAGTAAGTAAATAAAGTGTGCTGTTGGCAACCCCATAATGTTCTACCTCATGGGGTTGTCAAGACAAGAAATGGAACAGAGGTGGTTGGCCATTGCCTTCTTCTGCATAGCAGCACTGGTCTTCCTTAGTGATCTCCCATCTAAATATCAGCCCTGCTTAGCTTCCAAGGTCTGACAAGATTGGGCTAGTCTGGGCAATTAGGCATAGCTGTCCTAGTATCAGAGAGGGTCTGACTGCCCTTAGCCCAATGAATGGAGAATACAAAGATGGGGTAGTTTACTGAAGACCTTCTTTTGATTAAGAACCATTTTGGATTGGCCCATGAACAGCATATGTTGAAATGTAGACTCGTGCCAGTATGTCATAGGCTTTTACATGACACTTTGTAGGTTTGTAGCTGCGGTGGCTCAAGTGGTTAAGACGCTGAACTGCAGGCTGTGGAAGGTCAGTAGTTCAGCAGTTCGAGACCCGAGGGTGCCGCATGACGGAGTGAGCTTCCGTCTCTAGTTCCAGTCCTGCCAACCTAGCAGTTCGAAAGCAAGAAATTGCAAGTAGATAAATAGGTACCACTTCGGTGGGAAGGTAACAGCGTTCCGTGCACCTTGGTGTTTAGTCATGCTGGCCACATGACCATGGAAACATCTTCGGACAGCGCTGGCTCTTCGGCTTTGAAACGGAGATGAGCACCGCAACCCTAGAGTCGGACTCGACTGGCTTTCGAGCAAGGGAACCTTTACCTTTACCTTTGTAGGTTTGTATTGGTAGCGTGGTATTGAATCCTTTTGCCAGAAAGGAACAGATAAGACTTCCTGGCTGAAAGACAGAGTGATGGGTAAGGATAATTGATTTATCTAAAACATTTCTATGCTGCCTTTCTGTCCAGATAGAGTTCCCAAGGCTACCCAAATAGGGTCAGCATTTAGAATAAAGTATATATGAAGTAAATATACAAATAAAGTTTATATAAAATAAATATAAAGTGTATGTAGAATAATTAAATAAAAACACGTATAACAACTCAGTGAGGAAGGAGGGCTTTATGCTACTTACTCTGTGTCTTCTCTTTTGTGTAACGTGCAGAAGGAGGGCTTTATGCTACTTATTCTGTGTCTTCTCTTTTGTGTAACTTGCAGAGTATTTGATACAAACAGCAGCCTCTTGAAAAGGGCTGTGAAATGGTAACGTTTCCAAATCATGCAGAACTAACTCAGAGCATTTGAGGTCAGCTACTTTGAGTGGGAAGAGCATTGAGACAAGGGGTCATAAGAGGCAAGGTGCTGGAAAATTCAGGATTCGCTTCTCCTAATGACTTCAAAAAGACTGAGGTTGCATGGAGAAAGTGGGGGATTTAACCCTCTGCCCCTATTTGGCTTTGCCACTTGAAACCACTGCTTACCCCCTTACTGTAATTAGGCCTAAAAGAAGAAAAAATGGGCTGTTGTCAGAGTTTTGATCAGTGAAACTGCATACAGGGTTAACCTTCCTTCTCCCCTACCCCTGAATTGAGTCCACTCCCCCTTTCCCAGTGAGGCTGATATTACCATTTTAAAAAATCTGGGGAGGATTTAGTCCCAGATCTCACAGGTTCTAGTGTGTTTTGACCCTGATGTACATGCTGGGAAGGAAAAACTGTATCTCAGTTGTTGAAGTCCTCTCCAGCTTGTGTCAGTTAGGGTTCAGACGTTCAGTTCTGCTAGCAGTAGCCCTGGCAAGTGTGTCACCCCAGCACAAAGCTCCCTTCTGTCATACCCAGCGAGTAAAACCAGCTGCTTGCTTAGCAGTTTGGTAAGGCCGCCAGTTCCTTTTCACTTTGTGTCGACCTTGACACTGGAAACAGCTAGTTGGAGCCTACATGTCAAAAGAGATTATGTTGCTGATGGGGGATATGTACGGAGAAGTGGGGGGGGAGTGTTTGTGAGAGAGCTTTTAATATGCAAAAGGGGCCAAAGTATTAGCTGACCTTGCAAGTGGGGGAGAAGGAGACAAAGCAAAGTAAGTGTTTTATCTGAAAAGCTGGGTATATCTTTTCCTTGCCAGAAATGCCCATTTAAAAAAACCAACAACAACAACCAGCAAGCTAAGGCAGCTGGAAAAAATGCTGTGGGTTTCGGCAGCACTCTCTTGTAACAGATTACTTCCACCTATAAGTTTCATCTCTGTTTCCATAGCCAACAGGATAACCCTAGTAAATTGTTTTTAAGTAGTGCTTTGGAAGGGGTGTTTGTATAGAAAACATAGTAGTATTAGGAAAAGATAGTCATAGGAAAAGATAATATTATTACATTGCATCTATGGTAGGGTTGCCATTTCCCAGTTGGGGGCAGGGTATCCCCTGGTTTTGCCAGCTGGCTGTTGGGAGGAAATTCCCCCCCAAAAACAGTGATGTCACTGGAAATAAACGTGACATGCTTATGTCACCCGGAAGTGATGTGGGCACATTGGTGATGTCGGGAGGTGACACTCTGGTTTTTGGACAAAACTCTATGGTTTGAGGCTGATTTTACTGTAGAGTTTTGTCCAAAAACCAGAGTGTCACCCCCGACATCACCAACATGCCTATGTCACTTCCCGTTCTCAGAACAGCCCCCCCATTTCCCTGCCAGTGTTTCTGATGGACCTGGCAACCATAATCTATGGCCACTAGTGAGTTCATGGCAGAGGCAATAATTGAACTGAGTGGGGCAGGTGTATGTGTCAAGGCTCAGTGTGGTAGGGATTCTGCTGAGGCCCATGGCCCACTGGAGGGCCTGATGCTGACTAGAATCATTTGATCCACCTGCTTCCACCAGGAGTGAGAGGTGTTCCCAGAAGCTCCCACAGTATTGCATGGACCTCTGGAATAATCTTCCATATCATGCTAGGAGATTCACGGTGGGGATGCAGGAGCAAGGTGTAACTCTTTCATGCATCTTTTCAACTTTGCCCCCTTCAGGTGATTGTATGTATGTGCCCGAAGGCACAGGCTAGGGTATCACCAATATGCTGACGACACCCAGCTATATCTGCTGTTGGGCGGTCAGTTTGACTCTACCCCAGATGACCTGGAGTGGACGCTTCAGGACGTGGCGGGCCTGGCTTAGACTGAGTTGATTGAAATTGAATCCAACGAAGATGGAGGGCCTGTGCCTGAGTCGGAACGGGTTGTGGGTAGGGATCCCACTACCGACCTTTGATGGGGCACCATTGGTGCCAGCACCGAGGGTCAGGAGCTTGGGAGTGCTCCTGGATGCTGCCTTAACAATGGAGGCCCAGGTAGTGTCAGTTAACACTGCCATTTCCCTGGAATGTGTGTGGGGTGTTCCTCCTTTCCTCAGCCTGGTACAGTAATGATGTCTCCTGTCTGGGTTGTTATCTGCTTATGCTTTCCTGACCTTGGGGTTCCAGCTGCTCCTGACCTGCTGGGAACAAATGACTCCTATTTTGGCCGCTCTCTTTTCTCCGGCGCACAATGCACAATGCTTATTGGCTTCTGCTTGTAATGGGGTGTTTTTTTTTTGAAACTACTATAACTGTGGGTGC